TGGTCACGTGGTGCCACCCCGCGGCCGCGCTCGCCTTCGAGACCCAGGAGGTTTGGGCCCAACGCGCCCCAGGGCTGCACGAGGCCTGGGCAAGGCGCCCCTGGAAGTAGTTGGGGAAACCGAGGACCACAGACGCCCCTCCCCCCCTCCAGACGCAGCGCGAGAGTGCTTAGCGCCTCTGAGACAGGTGGGCTTGGCAGCTTGAGATTGGGTTTTCACTTCAGCCACAGTGCTCTCCCGGTCAAATGCCCCTAACCAACTCTTCTGGAAGCATCTCGGAGTCCTGGACTCCAAGGAGGTAGGACCACGAAGGAAAAAGGTTTGCATTCCTCTAATGCAAATGCCAGGAGTCATGGAGATCCTGGGCGGTCAATTGGTAGATCGTTTGTCCGTGATACTTAGGAAAAAGTCAAAGATCTGAGAGAGTAGCAAAATGAGCAGACATCCCAATCAGGACCAACCAGGACTTCTTCATGTGAATGCAGTGCAGCAGGGGTTCTTAACGTTGGCCCTGTATGGGGGTTGGATAATAGGTCTGTGCTGTGGGAAGCTGTCAATTGCTGGATATTTAGCAGAATTCCCGAGCCTTTACTCACTAGATGAGGTGCCCTGGTGACAATAGTTAAAGTGCTCATTTGCGAACAGAAAGGTCAGAGGCCATCCATTTGGCACCCACCAGCGAGGAGAAAGACAGCAATTGGCTAATGGTTTACAGCCTTGGGAACCCCATGGGGCAATCCTCCACTGTCCTTACAGGGTGACTGGCTGTCAACTGGAATCCACTCCACAGCAACAGACTTGGTTTTTGTGGATGCTACACCCTTACTAGACTAGGAGCTCTAATGACACCGTGTTAACAGTTAAGGATTCAGCTGGTAATGGAAAGGTCAGAGATTTGAACCCACCAGCTGCTCCATGGTAGAAGATGTGACCGTCCACTTCCATCAACAATGCACAGCCTTGGAAATTCATGAGACAGTTGTCTCTTCCCCCTGGAGGCCACTGTGAGGCTATTGACCTGTTGACCATGGAATTGGGTTTGAGTTTGGGATTTTTCCCTACTAGATGCCAGTACATACTTTCCCCAAGTTATGACAACCAAACTGTCACTCAGATCTTGTCAAATGTGCCCTCAGGGATATAGTCTTCCAGGGTTTAGAATACTGTGGTCCCACATACAAATGACAGATGGCACGGACTGGGGTCTGACAGTCTGGGGCTCGCCTCCCAAGTCATACTCTTAACTGCGACTTCTCATCTCTATAACAGAGAGAGAGAGAGAGCCCATAGCCTTGGTCTGTTATTGTCTGATCTTCTGACATTTTCCACCCTAGGGCCCCTGCTGACCTACCACTTCTCTGTGGTCTTTGTTTATAAGCAACATGGGAAATAATTATTTCCTTAAAGAGAGAACATGTCACAGAATTATAGGAGGACCAGTACAATAATGACTAAATTAGAACTTAGCACTTATCTGGCACATAGAAGGAGCACAAAATCTATTTGGTGGTAGTGTTACTCAAAGCTTTAAGCCTCTCCACTCCTCGGTTCTTGTCTTGCTGGCAAAAAAGATTTCAGGCAGAAAGCAAATGTTTTGAGAATGATGATGACAACAAATGTACAAATGTGCTTGACACATGGATGTATGTATAGAGTGTGATAAGAATTGTACGAGCCCCCAATAAAATGATTAAATTTAAAAAAGACTTCAGGCAAGGGGAAAAATTCAGACCAGAGTCAGGGAAAACGTTTGAACAGAAAGAGTGGGTTTCCTGAAGGGGATACTTTGGCAAAGAAGTTCGAAGGGCCCTTAGCTAGTCTAAAAGGCCCAACCCTTAATAGAGCTGAACCTTATGTTCAGCTAATGGTTGACCTCCCACCATCGGCTTCCTTTCTGGGGGGTCTTCTGCTGTGGCTGCTATCATGCACCTCCTCTTTCCAGGTGCGTGTCTCCCAGCACTTGATTTCATGCTGTGCCCTTGTCTCAGACCCCAAACTCACCATCCATTCAGTCATTGTGGGGGTAATGTGACTATCCTGTGTTTCTTCACCCAGCCATTATTTCACTATCTCTAATCTCGTCCATTGGTAAGGAAATGCGTCTTATCTGCCCTTAGCCTTCTTTGGGGCTAGAGAAGTATATGCAGGGACATGTCTCCCCCTTTCCTTTGTGCTACAGTTTCTGCCAGATTCCTGCCTTCACCACCTCGTCTCCCTTTGCCAGCCTCTGTCCACCTAACAGTATTATTACTTTTGCTACCTGATAGGTTGATGGATAGGAAAATAAGCTTGAGGATGGTGATGATGATAACAATTTGCTTTATAGCTCCTGCACTAACTCCTCTACAACAGCAAAGAGAGGGGCAGAAGATATGAGGGTATAGATAGACAAAACCAAATCTACTACCATTGAGTCCATTTTGACTCATAGTGGCTCTCTAGGACACAGTAGAACTGCCCAATAAGGTTTCTAAGATTGTACATCTTTATGTGAACAGACAGACTCATCTTGCTTCCAAGGAGTGACTGGTGGATTTGAACCATCCGTCTTGCAATTAGCAGCCCAATGCTTAACCCACTGCCTTATGGACAGACCAGGCCTGCTTCCATCAAGTCAATTCCAACTCATAACAACCCTATGTAGAGTTGCTGAGACTATAAATCTTTACAGAAGCAGATTGCCCTGCTTTTCTCCCACAGTGACTGGTAGGTTTGAACTTGGAGTTAGTGACTGCATTAGTACTTAAGTTCTGAGCAGTTGGTTTTGCAGAAAACTAAGTGTGTGTGTGTGGGGGGGGGGAATCCATTTGCAGAATCCCCAGTAGGATGATACCTCCATTGAATTCCTTCTGTCCATTAACCAGGACTTGGGAGAGAGGTGGTAGTGGTTATGAGTTGGGCTGCTAACTACAAGGTCAGCAGTTCGAAACTAACAGCTGTTCCACAGGAAAAAGAGGAGGCTTTCGTTTGACTCCCATAAAGAGTTAGAGATTCAGACACTCACAGAGACAGTTCTACCCTATCCCATAGAGTTGCTAAGAGTCAACATAGACCCAATGGCAGTGAGTTTGTTTTTGGTGTGTGAAAGATTTACAGTCTTGTAAATCCATAGGGGCAGTTCTATTCTGTCCTATAAGGTCCACTGAGTCAGAGCAGTTTCAAGGGCAATGAGCTTAGTTTAGGGTTTTAATCCTAACCAGAAATGGGAAATCTTGCCCTTAGGCACAGTACATTAGAAAGTAGATTACCATACACACACCCCAGCCTCTAGCCCAAGGAGGGGAGATCTCCCTTAGGGGCTTGCCTGGGTATGACTTCAAGGAGACTGTCATACTGGGGTCCCATAGTCATGAATTGTGACCTGCTTTGGTTAGAAGGCCCTGGACTAGTTTGGTAAACTTTCCTGCCTAACATAATGTACATGTCCCAAGCACAGTCCTGTTCTCATTTGGTAGTCCTACCTGAAACTGTGATGTATTGATCTGCTGCCACTCATGCCTCTGTGACAATGTCCTTTGTCCTCCCATGCCCTATGTATGCCTCCAGTCCTCTAACCCTGTGGACTCCATCATGACTGTATGCTAATAGTCTTCCTCATCCAGATGATGGATCTTAGTCTTGTCTTTTCCTAGGTGAGACTTATAAATGTTTTCCTCTAGTTATATTTGAGGCTTGGGGTTTCTTTTGTACCCTGAAACATAACCCAGTGCCTAATCCACTGCACCACCAGGGCTCAGACAAGTATCCCTACATTTTTAAGTTTCACACAGTTGTGTCCTGTTCAGCTGCAATTTGATGGCTTCCCCACCCAGGAAAAGGTTTTTCCTTACAACAGTGCAAGGCCACTATTATTCCTTGGTACATTGGTGCAGATGGTTATGAAAGCTTAGTGGGGCTTCCACAGGGAGTTTTGATGCCATCTAGAAGTGCCTCTGAGAAGCTTGCCCTCAAGGTCTCTCTTCTGGCCCCAGCCTCTTGT